CAATGTGCCTGGAAGAGAAGTGGGAGACCTACATGGAGTTCCTGATTGTTGTCACCATTTGTGACTTGAACCAGCACACGAAAGCCTCCCTGCCCCCCTCCTAACTTTGTCATTCTGATTCCACCCTTCAAGTAAATAAATGTATCTTTAAAGTTTTTTAAATGAGTAAATGAATGTCAGTGCCCATGGCTTACTATTTTCAGGGACGCTTTTGCTTTTTTTTTTTAAAGATTTATTATTATTATTTTTTTATTGGAAAGGCAGATATACAGAGAGGAGAGACAGAGAGGAAGATCTTCCATCCGATGATTCACTCCCCAAGTGAGCGCAACGGGCCGATACTAAGCCGATCCGAAGCCAGGAGCCTCTTCCGGGTCTCCCACGCGGTGCAGGGTCCCAAAGCTTTGGGCCATCCTCGACTGCTTTCCCGGGCCACAGGCAGGGAGCTGGAAGGGAAGCAGGGCTGCCGGGATTAGAACCGGCGCCATATGGGATCCCGGGCGTGCAAGGCGAGGACTTAACCACTTGCGCCACCGCGCCGGGTCCCGCTTTTGCTTTTAAATGCAATGGCAGAGGCATTAAAAGGAGTTGATTTCTAGATTTCGGCTGTTGAGTACTGATAGAACAGATAAAGGCTATGTTTCCGGGAAGGACAGTAATGGTGGCAGTGGGTGGTAGTAGTGGAGGTGTTGTTATGCAAATTGACTTCCAGAGATTCTATAGACACTTAAGGAAAGGAAAGACCTTTCTTCTAGAAAGCACCAGCCTGGATCCCTGGTAGTGTCCGCTTTGCCTCCCAGCAGTTATCCGAGTTATTTTTGGCACTGGTGGGAGCAAGCAAGTGGGGATATGGAGGCAGATGTAGTGGTGAGCTTTGGAGTTATTACAATCCTGAGATCTTCCTGAGTTGCCACAGCCAGCATTTCCTTATCTTTTCCCCTATTCTCAGCATTATTATTTTTTAATTAAAGATTTATTTATTTTTATTGGGAAAGCAGACATACAGAGAGGAAGAGAAAAAGAGAGGAAGATCCTCCATCTGATGGTTCACTCCCGAAGCAACTGCAGTGGCTGGAGCTGAGCCAATCCGAAGCCAGGAGCCAGGAGCTTCTTCTGGGTCTCCCACATGAGCGCAGGGTCCCAAGGCCATCCTCTACTGCGCTTCCCAGACTGCAACCTGGGAGCTGGATGGGAAGTGGAGCAGAAATTGACCCCTGTCTACATGAGCAGGTTTTACCTTGAAGCAATGCTGTCGTATGATCCCTGACCCATTGTGGACGTTGGAGACATCTTTGTGGGAGAAGGTGCTGCTAGCTGCCATGTGATGGCTGCCCAGGGCACTGGAGACCAGGGGCTGGTCTGCTCTGGACCCAGCAAGTCTCCCAGGCTTCAGCTGGAAGAGGAGGGCTACAGGAGGACCTGGCAGGATTCCAGTTGACCAATAGCACACCTGAATGGACATTCCTTACATAGTTGAGGCACAGACAGCCCCTTTGCCTGCCCACATATCTAGAGGGGTATAAAACTCCTCCACACGTATCTCACAGGTCCTTTTCGCTTCCCTCTTCCTTCCCCTCTGTGCCAAGGGGTCCCAGGAGCAGATTTTCCAATAAAGCTTCCATTACAGCTCTGAACAACTTGCCGATATTATTCCACCAGCTGGCGGTCGGTCGGTGGTCATCATCTAACACCATGGATGGAGGTCAGGGATGCTGCTCAACACCCCACATCCCAAATCACCTCCTCATCCCAAAATGTCAGGAGTGCTAAGCCCAAAAATCTGCTCTAAGCGAGACTGGGAAGAGGACCCCTGTTTAGAGACACAGGATCCCTAACACCTAGGCAGTTGTTGGGCAATGAGCAGTGATTTCTCGCTCTACAACCCACTAACTCCAGGAACCTTGGACACGTTCGTATTTATGTGTGATCCTCGATAGAAGATTCAGATTTGAGCTTGTATTCAGGAAATCCTCTGGCACAGCAGTAGATTCCCCAAGGAATAACTACAGCAGTCATGACTACACTATCAGCTGTCCTTGATTGAAACTGCGGTGAGCTTAGCATTTTCGATGGATCATCTCCGTTGCTATTGCACAGCCCTCCTGAGGAGGAACTATGAGCACAAGCCCCATCTGCAGATGAAGACTTAGATTTGGAAAGTGCCAGTTGATTGCCCAAGATGTCTCAGTTCCCAGGTACATCGTGCAAATGGAGGGTAAAGTCAGGTCGGTGATGGATTGGAGAGATTCAGCTCCTAATGGCTAACCAGCTTAGTTGGGGAGGGAGGAAAAGGGGAACATTTCTGAATTCACACTTGCCATCTCAAATGCCAGCTCAGAACAATGTGAGGGCTCTTTTGGCCAGTATAGAGGTGTTCCCGCAGGGTCCCCACAAATGGAAACCAAATCTGCCTTCAGGTCAGTGTTTGCAGAAGGACGCGTGCTTGGGCAGAAGTGCCTGTGCGGATCGCTGTCCCTACAAGCGCTGCGCTCCCCTGGCCGTCTTGGGCACAACCGGAGCTGCGTGGAGAAGCGTATTTTTTTCTCTTACAACTTGTCAGGGCAGCTCCCCAGGGAGTCTAATCTTCTGGGGAGTCTGCGTAGGGGAGTGGGGCGGGGGGGGGGGCGCGGGGAGAAAGGCACACTTTGGAGAAAATGACAGCTCACCCTGCGCGCGGTGAATCTGCCGGGGATTGAAAGTGGGAAGCATCGCTTACGCACGGTGGCAAGACGGTGGAAGGGGTGGAGGAGGTGTTCAACCTCTCCCTAACTCTCTCAATCCAGTTTCCAACCCCAACTCATCTCCCTGGCTCGCCTTCCTGGAAGTGGGACCGGATTGCCGCCGGGTGCGTCCAGGGCAATTTCCTTCGGTAAATCAGGGAATCAGCTGGCCTAAGCGAGCCCTGTGGACGAACCTCGAATCTGTTCCTGGAGTTGTATTGCCGCCCAGGTCTATGGGCAGCTAAGCCTAGAGAAGCGGGTTGGGGTTGCTCAGCACGAAAGCAAAAACGTCACTGATCATCTAGCGAAATTCGTTGGGAGTTTACCCGCAAGCGTGGTGTGCCCTAAAGCACCCTGGCTTCCCTTAGATAACAGTGATGCCGCCCCGCGAGACCAGTTTAGAACGGTGAAGACAGAAGGGTGCCAAGAGGCCAGAGAGACCCACTTCTGCTGTCCTCCCACTCGCGCACCTCCGGTGCCTGGCTCCGGGAGGAATCCGCCGCGGCTACTCCGTGAGGCGCTAGATCGCGCCCACGCTTGCTAGAGAGGAGAGAGTGGCGAAGGACCCTCACGCCCAGCTTCAAGCAAAAAACGATTTTAGGCCACTAATGTTGCACCGGAGGCGTCTTTCCTGCCGAAAGAGAAGGGTTGGTTGGTTTGTCGATTGAACCTGGGCCACGCTCCCGGTGTGTGTCTGCAAGAGGGCTGGGCTTCCGGCAGGAGAACCTGCAACCCAGGCATCTGAGACACAGGGTGTGTGTTGGGGGTACGGGGTGGTCTTAGTCTCCGTGAGGCCGTGAGGACCCGGATCTGCGGCCAGCGGGCTCTGATTCCTTCAGCCCAGATTTTACCCCGCTGTGCCTTCAGATGGCTGTGCGCTCTAGGTCTCCACGCATTCCACGCACCTGTTTCTTCCCTCTGTACATCCACAAGGATTGCTGGGGTGTGGGAGTGTAAGGAGATTTGGTGCCAACATCAAGTCCCAAAGCCCCAGGGTCCTGGTCCTGATAAGTAGAACCTCTTGGGTTGGGAGGGCCCCCTTTCCACAGAAATCTCGCCTGCAGCGGCCCGAGGTCAGGGACTCCGCTGCTAACACAAGCGGCCTCAAAACCAAGCGCAGGGAGGCCTACGGAGAGCGGGTATTTGTTCCTAACGAATGACAGGTTTCTGTACCAGCGAATGGCACAGTGGCATCGCGAGGGCTGGTCGCATCTCGGCCCCGAAGTGTTGCGGGGCGCGTGTGGGACTGGCGGAAACCGGACATTGGCAGGCGTACCGAGCTGCAGAAGGCTGCGGGGACCAGCGCGAAAGCTCTGGCTGAGCAGTGCGCTGGGGATTCTGGACTTGGATTGCCGCAACCCCAACCCCGATCCCATACCCCGGCCCGTCCACTTCCTTCCCCGCTCCCCTGCACCCCCTTCCCCGCCTCAGCAAGGAAGGCCCACTACAGGTGGGCGTCAGTTTACACCATGTCCGAGGAGGTTGGGGCTCAGAGCCAGGGACCATTTCTAAGAAAAAAAATTTTATTTAAAAGTTTTGTACATAAATAAATAAATAAATATCTTCTGATATGACCGAGACCTTACAATTACACAGCTAGGCCAGGGCGGGGTCGGTGCCCGGGAGGAAATGCGGTGTGTGTGTGTGTGCGCGCGTGGAGGGTCTCCTTGGGGGGAAGGATGTCAAGCTTGTCGGAAACAGAGTAGACCGTGGGGGCTGACAGCGAGACCCGACTGAAGGACGGTGACTGAAGGAAGAGACTCCCTGAGGAGGGGGAAGAAAAAGGGGAAAGAAAAAGTTCCTAAAGGTGCGTGGGTGAGGCCAGGGGTGTGGAGAAGCGGCCACAGTAAAGAATCGGAAAGAGAAAAAAAATTAAAAAAAAAAAAAAAAAGAGGAAGCAAACAGGCATCCGAGAACAAACAGACCGAACTTGACCAAGGGCGGAGGACAGAGAGGACGTTGGACATAGCGAGGCATCCGGAGCAGACCTCGAGGGTGAGGCTGTGCGAGGACTAAGGCCCAGCGTGCCCACGGGGGGCGCCCCGCTGCGCTGCGCGTCCACTCTCAGCTTTGGACGCCCGTGGGCGCTGGAGCGCGGGTACCACGGTCATGTCTCTGCCAAGCTCTCAGCGTGGCCCAACGTCAGCGGCTTCCGCCACCGCCACACTCAAACCCGTGCGCCGCAGTTGTTGAACCGCGCTTGTGCCTAGGAACCTGCGCCGGCGTCCCAGTGTTGCAGGTGCACGGAGGTCCTGCGCCTAGCGACCTAGGGAAACGCGTGCCTAGGGAGTGACCGAGAGATCCCGGTCGTCCTTCCCGGAGGAGGACGGAGACATGGGCAATTCGTCGTCGTCCTCGGAGCATTTAGCTGAGGAGAGCGACGCGCACTTGCAGCCTGGCGGCGCGCCACTGCCAGCACCGGCACCTGCACCAGCAGAGCCGCCGCCGCCACTGCCTCCGCTGCTGCCACCGCGGTGGCTGCTGCCCTTGCCCTCCTTCTTGTGCTTCACGCGGCGGTTCTGAAACCAGATCTTCACCTGCTTCTCCGACAGGTTCAGGTAGGTCGCGATCTCGATGCGTCGGAGGCGCGACAGGTACATGTTGGAGGCGAACTCGCGCTCCAGCTCTAGCAGCTGTGTGCTGGTGAACGCCGTACGCATTCTCTTACTGCTGGGTAGCTGGTTCGAGCTGCTGTCTGGAGAGAGCGGTGGTGCAAAGAGAGGTTAAGTGAGCAGAATCCTGCGCCGAGGGCCCCAACCCCTGCTGGGCAGCCGCTAGGATCCGGGAACTTTCGGTTGCTGGTCCACCCTTTTGCCCGGATCCGGATCCGTAACAACCACACTGGCGGCGGCGGCTCTGCTGGTGCAGGTGCCGGTGCTGGCAGTGACGCCCAGGTGCCTCCTGCCCAGGCCGCAGGATCCTGCTTCACGCCGAGCTTTGGAGCTCGGCTGGACCTCTGTGCGCGTCATTCCCTTAGAAGCCCTCGCCACACGACTCAGCTTTCATCCACCCACTCCCTTCCTGGCGTTCTGGCCGGCCCTGTGCGCCCAGCACCCCTCTCAGATTCCCGAATTGTCCCTCGCCAAACCCCCAGCCCCCGCCCCGCAACGTCCCAGACTCCCTCTCCCTGCATCGGGTCACCATCGCCCTGTCCCTGTGCGCGACGGTCCCACTTACCCACGGAGATGCAGTGGAACTGCCTGGGGTCAGGTAGCGGGTAGGCGGTCTGGTAAAGCGCAGCGGCGGCGGGGCCGTGAGCGACCCCGGGCGACACGGCCGAGTGCTGGCGGCCGAGGGGCGCGTGGCAGTACTGCGAGCCGAAGGGCGGGAAGGACGCCTTGAGTAGCGGCAACGCGGGCGGCCCGGGGGGCCCATGCAGCTGCGAGGCGGTGACGCAGAGCGGGCACACACACAGCAGCCCGGCCTTCCGCGCGTGGCAGGCGCCGGGCGAGAGACCGTGCAGCGCGTGCGGCGGGGGCACCGCGTAGGGGAACAGCGGTGGCGGGCTGCCCTCGGGCGCCTTCTTCTCGCCCGCCTCGCGCAGCACCAGTGAGTCCACCAGGAAGGAGCGCGGCATGGCCCCGGCGCGCAGCCGCTCCGCCGCCAGCCCGCGCCCCGCGCCCTCCGGCCCGCCGCGCTCCGGCCGCGCTCGCCCCGGCCGCCCGCAGCTGCCCCGGCCGCGGAAGCTGCAGGCGCGCTGGAGGCCAAGGCTGGAGCCGCTGTGGCTGCCGCGGGCGCCGCCCCAAGAGCGCGGGGTGCTGGCCAGCGCTAGTGGTGCTGAAAGGCGCCGGCGGCGCCGCTTAAATAGGACTATTGCCATGTGATGGGCTACGCCAGGAGCGGCCGGGGCCTCTCAATAGGGTTTTTGTGCCTTTTCTCTTGGCATTCACTCTGCACGCTTCCTCATTATTTCACTTGTTAACTAAATGAACTGCATAATGTACTCTATTCTTGTCAACCCCACCCACGCCGTAACAGGCGCCCTCGCCCCCTCCTCTCCCTTTTGCGGGTTTATTTTCTCATTCTCCCGCGATTTAATATTCTTTTCTTTCTCTTTATTCCTCACTCCCCTTTGGCTTTCGCATTGGCGATCGGCCACTTATCTGATTGATTTTGCATCCCCGATGCCTCGCTTCCAGGGATCCCCATGGGCTCACATCCTCGTCCCCTCGCCCACTGGGCTCTGGGCCCCTTCTTTCCCTATCAAACCCGCCACCCCACTTCCGCTGCCCCTCCCGAAGTATGCTCTTTCCTTTCATTTCCTGCAGCTCAGCGCCGTGCAACCCTGGCCAGCCACTGATTTCCACCTGTGGAATCGCCGTGGTGGGAGCGCGAAGACTGGGGGCCCCTGCGTGGGCCAGGTAGTTCTGGCAAGGAAAAGCCCACACTTCCTCGGTAACATGAGCCCTATCGTGGTGCCTCTGCTTTCTCCAAGTTTCTCAGGGAACCTTCACTTGGGTGCTGCCCACGTACCCTAGCCTTTGTTCGACTCTATTCTGGCCCATTGGCCTTGTCCTTCCGCCCACAGGGTCCTGGGTGTAATCGAGGGGGAAACGGGTGAGGCAATAGGGTGACGGGGAAAGAGAGCGCAGACTGTGCAGATGAAGATCTCGCACCCCAAACGGGGTTGTGGGGGCCGGACGTGGACCGAGACCACACGCCCACACCCCAGTGGACCTGTCGACGGACTCAAAACTCCTTGCCCTTCCGCGGTTTGGGGCGACGCGAAGAGCAGCTGTCTTCCAAGCGTCGGCTTCCTGCGCCCACCCTGGCTCCCCAGTCGTCCAGCTGCGGCGCTCTCTTCTTCCTGGTCGCACAATGGTTAAACAACTTCAAATGCTCCATGCTGTGTACACAGCACCAACTCTTAAAATTGTCCTGGGAGCTTAAAGCAGTTTTGCCCCGGAGCTTTTTCCATACAATGGGAAATTAGCATAAATATTTCGAATTTGCATCCCAGAGACTTTTCAGTGGCGACGTTTACTTTCGATTTCATCGGAACTGCAGCGGCGAAATCACCTGCTCTGGGCCCTGAATGGAATTGTGAGAAACGGAGGGGGAAGCTTTCCGGAGAGAGTGTGATGGGGGGCCCTGGGGTACAGTGTGTGTGTTGGGTGGGGGGAGAGCTCTCGGGGCACGGGAGGTGGGCTACCCAAACGCCAGGCGTCTGCATGGGCTTCCGTCCTTGCAATAACATCCTTACCATGACCAATAATAGCAAATTAATACTGATAAAAGCGCAAAGATGATTGCCACCACCACCACCACCACCACCATCACCCATAAAAGGGAGGGGAGTCAGCGGGAGAACTGACTTCACTGTATCCGGCCATGCCAGCTGGCAAGAATGAGGATCCATGGCACGGGGTGATGGCTAAATCTGCCCACCCCGCCGTGGGCTCGGCCCCGGGGCTCTTGCCAATCAGCCAGCATGCATACATGCACCCCAATTCTCTACCTAATTGCTTTCTGGGAGATTTGGAGCTAAGCCTGACCGCTGCAGGCCAGCCCGGCGCAGGAAGCCGGTGGCCTGGGCCAGGAGCTCCTGGCTGGGCGAAGGAGGGCTGGAGAGGCGCGGATAAGGGCACAGCCGCGTGGTTCGGAGGCGGGCGCCCGCGAGGAGCCAGTGCGGAGCTCTCCCAGGAGCCCAGCCGGAGCGCCCGGGGAGGAAGGAGTTAAGAGCCCCGTGAATGAGAGCAAGGCCAAAGCTACTGGGAAAGAATATCGAAGGGGGGAGGAAAAATAACCAGTTTTTTCCCCCTCTCCCTCCAGCCTCTGGATCTTATTGAATGTCATTGAAGAAAGTTTTGAATGCCAGATAAAGAGAGGCGAATTAAAGTGTGTGACAGCGGAGGATAAGCAGACACAAAGAGAACTCTGTCACACTTTGGGGCAAAATCCGTGGGCTTTTTACCAAGTCTCTTCGCTATGATTGAATTAAGTAATAGGAAAACATTTTCTTTCAGTTTAGAGCCATGAAACAAAAACTTCAAAGCGAATAACACTTTTTAATGTGCGGCCCCACAACGGATCGGGTTTTGTGCCGAAATGTTTAAATGGTTTGTTGTGCAACTCGGTGCGGGAGAGAGAGGGAGAGCGGGGCCCAGGCCAAACTGCAGCCCTGGAGAGAGGGTTTTTTCGAGCGGCCCCGGAACGAACGCGCCCTTAACCCGCCATCCCCCAACCCGGCGGCCGCGGCGCCGAGAGGGGGCTCCGCTGCTCTGCGCTCGGTCCTGGGCAGCCCGGCGCGCGCCCCGGCGTCTGGCCGTGCAGCTCCCGAGGCAGGTGCAGGTGCGGAGACTGCGCGGCCACCCCGCGCCGGCAGGGCTTGCCGGACCCCGCAGCCTCGGCCAGCCGCCGGTGCTCCGAGGGACGGCTCCCCGAATTCTCTCAGGCAGCTTTCTTGGGCCAAGCGCCTGGCCAGAGCTTGCTCCAGCCGGGGCTGAACTTTGTCCAAAGGTTTTGGCTGGTGGGAATCGGGATTAGGCTGACAACTGCGGGGTCGTCGCCCCTCTCTCCACCCCCACCCCCGGCCTAGGGCTCTGTTCTAGGAGCTGATTTTCAAGTGTTCTTCAAGGGGATGGTTCAAAATGGAATCATTTCTGGGATCCTGGTTCTGAGGGCTTTCTGGTCCTCTGGCACTGCTGTCTTTCCTGTTCAGTTAGTTTTGTCTTTCTCTTGGGGTGGTGATGGGGAGGCCTCTGCACCCAGGGAGGAGGAGGCTGGCGACATTTCTCTTTTCTCACGCTTGTTTTCCTTCAGATGGCGCTTTCCTTCTCTGGGAGGCCCCCACCCTGTTTAAAGTAGCCCCTGGCCCTCTGCCCGCTGGCTTAGGTGACTTAGGTGACTTAGGTGACTTAGGTGACTTAGGTGGCTTAGGTGACTTAGGTGACTTAGGTGACTTAGGTGACTTAGGTGACTTAGGTGACTTAGGTGGCTTAGGTGTTTGGGGCTCACTGTTTTGTTTTTCCACCTGGGCCCTGCCCCCATCCCAGAAACACAACACTGCCGAGAGCCACCAGGGTTTTTGTCTGGCTACTGCCTGGTTGTATGTATCCCAATCTAGAAAATGTCCTGTACATACTAGGTGCTCAGAAATGAACAAAGACGACCTGACTCAGGAGGTGGGATGGCAAGGAGGACTTCCTGGTGTGCTGCTTGTAGTACTTGGACACTTGGGGTTATGGGAAAGGTAGCTGACTATTGAAACCCTGCAGAGTTCGGGGCTGTCTGACTTTGTCCCCCTCTCCTCACTCCAGTGCCTGAATCCTGCTCAGAACACAGAGTATTGACACACAGTGGGAAACCTATCTGTGGATTGAAGAAGGCTCATCTCATTGAACCGAGATGACTTCGTCCAAGGCCATTGCAGTGTTGGATGAGTCCATTGGTAGCTCAGGTCTGGCAGTTGTCATCTCAGCCTTTTCATGCTGAATGGAGAAGGGGCTGGGTGGAGGGAGAAGCGATGCGATGTACATCCTGGAATGATTGTGGGGACATTCGTGCTCTGCCTGGCTGAAGACAATGGAGTAGGGAGAGAGTCTCCTTGTAAAGGAAGGGACTGCCCCTGGGACAACACTCTCTGAGATGGCACGCTGCTGAGTTCCACGAGGGACAGAGGGAGGAGGAAGGTGCCAAGAGAGACTAACAGAGCAGGAGGCGTGGAGGCCAATCATGAAGGACGGGGCTGACGGAATTTGAAGCAAAGGAGCAGCACTTGAGAAACACAATTGGAGGCAACAGAAGGCTGTACCGATGGGCATGGAGAGGCCAAAGACAAGGCTGGTAGAATGGATGAGAATAGAGAAATAAATAAGAGGAAGACTGAGTCAGTTCAAGTGCTGGGAAAAAAGCACCTGAACTAGAGTAGGGTTGCCAGCCCAGAGAAAGGAAACATTTGAGAGAGCAGGAAGGGGAACAGGTAGAATCGGCTGGTTATGTGTGTGTGTGTGTGTGTGTGTGTACATGCATGTGTGTGAATGTTGGAAGAGGGGGATCGAATGCACTTGGGAGTTTGAGGGAATGAGTGGGCACAGAAGCAGGGAATTCAGGGTAGTACCACCCCTGCTTGTCGTAACTTGGATATGTTGCATTATAATCCTTACGATTCATATCCATCTGCTGACATTCATGAGTAGCTGCAAATATGACTCTACATCTGGGAGGAGTTGGGAGGAAAGACTAGGGACGTAAAGAATTTTTCTACACGGCAACAAGGTTAGATAGTAAGATAAGTAAGCTAGAGGTAGGCAAAGAAGAAAATGAAAATGCAAAATAAGCAGATGGGGGCAGGGCTGCCAGATTCAGCAAATGCAAGTATATACCTGCTCCAAAGGGAGTCACTGTGAAGTTGGGACAGTAGAATTGTGTCCCCACTCAGAGGTATTTGCAAGTGTTAAGTTCCAAGATGCTGGGGAAAGACTGAATTTCTCTACTGGCCACATGAATTGTGTTTGCAGGCAACCAGTTACTTAAATGGGTCAACTTTAAAAAAAAATGTGATTCTGTTGTTTTGTTGTTGCATCTGAAAGGCTGCAATAGAAATGTGCAAAATAGCCTTCTAAAACATAAGTATTCAACTAGTGATGGCTAAAGGACAGACTACTAAAATATTGCA